AATTTCATTTCCAGCCACAGGCATAATATATGATGAAGTACTGCTAAGCATAATATATGAGCATCAAATATTAGTTACACTAGCTGTAATACAACTTGTAACAATTTTTCCCACACTGAATAAGTCATTCTTCACAATTTGTTATTTATTTCAACTACCACAAATCTACATAATCTGTTGTCCTACCTATCAACTTCTACTTCGGATCAACTTCTTCTTCTATTTATCATGCTATTATACAATACCAATGCAGTAGAAATAGGAAGCAACCAATTTTACAGTATCTTCATGTAATTTTAGAGACCAGTTGTATTACTGTCACTTCTGACCTATTGTGCGTACCAACTATCAAACATGATGTCCAACCACAATAATTACTGTACTAGTAATCTTCCTTTTCACAATTTTTTTGCCACATCACCAAATTTTCTGTTACTTATGCCTCATTTAATCATACCATAATCTATTCTCCTACCTATCGAGTTTGATGCAATCCCCTTCTCCTTTATTTATCACCCTATTCAACAATACGAATGAAGTACCAAACCCGTGGAACAATTTCAAAATATGTTCAGCCAATTTCATAGAACACTTCTAATAGTGTCACTACTGCATCACTGCGTGTAACAATTATCCAACATTATGTGCACCCACATTAACTAACAAGATTCGTAAAGTATGCCAAACTTCACAATTTGTTATTTTTTCTGTCACACATTGTCAAATTATAACATACTCTCCTACTTATTGAGTTTCATGTAATAAACTTGTCTATCTAAGCACTATGCTAGTATACAATTCCAGTGGAGTGACAATCACTTTCTTGCAATTTTAGATTATGTTAGCGCAATTTTACACACCATTCTCAATGTGTCACTAGTGACTCATTGCATAAACGAGTTATTCAACATGATGTGCAAACACAATATCTATCAAGACTTGTAAACTTGTTTCCACATTGAGTATGCCAAACTGCACAGTTTGGCATACTTTCTACCTATTATTGTCAAATTATAATCTTCTATCCTACTTAGCGTGTTCGATGCAAGCGATTTCTTCTTCTACTCCCCGTGCTATTGTACAATTTCAATAAAGTAACAAACACAGGGTGCCAAATTCGCATAATTTTGTGACATTTTCACACACCACTTCTGATGGTGTCACCGTTGACTCATTGCATGCAATAGTTATCCAACTTCATGTCCAAACACAATATCTATCATGACTCCTAACCTTTTTTCGACACTAAGTATGCCAAACTACATAGTTTGTTATTTATTCTACCTATCATTCTTGAAATTCAAAATACTCTCCTACCTATCAAGTTCGATGCGATCCACTATTCATTTCTTTTCTATTCATTCTTGTGTTTATAGCATGAAGTAAAAAAAATGAAGCATCACATTCATGCTTTGTACGCATGTTCATCTCCCTAGCCCCTCTCATTTCATACTTTTTTATTCTATTTCCTTCTATTATTTGGTAGACGGACCTTGATTTAATTTCATTCAATTAAGGGATTTCACTCTACATCTGCATAACAATTTCACTCCGTGTTAGTATTCTTTCACATAAATTAATACATTTCCAACATGCTATAAACGACGCCCTTAAATGAAATATCTTGTAACCATTTCACTTCACTTTGTATGTCTCCCTTAATAGTATGTACCATCGTAGAATCCCATATCATGTTTAGTCTCCACTCAGGAAGCATTACGTAACAAAGCCTACACCAACTTCATGCACAATAACCATAACAATCCCCAACCCATGCACGCGATTTTGCAAGCACTTGGTGTGCAAAATTTCCAATACCTTTCTTCCCCCCATGTTGGTAGTTATAATACCTATTATGTGCAACCGAAGGTTCCAGTTTGTTATCCATTTTCCATTGTATTACACAATTATTTCAACCAAAACTGCAACAAGTATAATCAACCCACTTGTTCACAACGATGTATGCAACAAAACCCAACTACAAGTCAAATCGATCCACAATTTATATGATACCATTGATGTTTTCTTACCTGTGTTTTTTTTGCTTTGTCTCTTCTCCGGATCTCCCAAACTTGTACTTCGTTGGTTTCCCGTTCACCTTTCTCAACCGCTCTAAAATTTGAGTACCAATCCTAAACTCTTTCCTTCTGCCACTACTTGTTGTTTCTCCTCACCGTGATTTTCCTTCGCACCCACTCTATTTCTACTACTTCTTCCTATCACTTGTATACTACCTGGTGATTTCCAATTCTGTGATGTTATTTTCCCCTTACTTTTCTTTCTTGCTTTGTTTTTACAATTGTGCATCAACGAATATGGGCAACTATTTTGGAGGGAGTGCGACTTACCTTTTCGTTTTGAGGGTTCACTTGGGCGGGAACAGACCAACGTTTCATGAAACGGTCCGTCAACTCTTTCTCTTTTTGTTTTTCCCGTTTCTCCTCAACAGGCGTCGTTTTACCCCAGAGAAAGTCTTGCTGACTTGGCTCATTTGTCTCCTCACGTTTTTGATTGTGAGGAGACCGTTCAGGAGCGGTCGGCCTGACGACAGCTCCTGCCCCGTATCCGGCGTACCGCTTTTCATGGTACGTTCGGCTCGGAATTAAGGCCGAATAGAGGGCCAGTTTACTTGTACCTGTCACGGAAGTGCTTTTGTTCTAGAAGTAATAATTTGTAAATTATTCGTGCTTCCTCTAATAATTTTTACCTATAATATTTCAAAAGCACCTGAAGTAAAGGCATCCAAGAACTCCAAAAAAAAAAAAAGAATTGCGAGATATAGTTTGATACAATGATGTGGCGAATTTCTCAGAATAATGTTAAAATAAAAAATTATTACAAAAGTAGTGTTTTGTAGGGAGTGTTTCTATCATAAGGGTCGCCGCAAGTCACAATATGGACTTAAAGGTTGTTCGATTTATTTTTTCATTTTTTTCCACGACTTAAGAATTTTTGAAGTTAAGATTTTCTGTTGCATTTTTTATTTTAACCAAAGATGGACCGTTGACTAACATATGATCAAGGGTCGTGATATGAAGGAATAGGAAAAAAATGTTTTTTAAATCATTTGCCCCAATACTAATTTGTGACTAACGAATTAAAATATTTTTTTCCTTAACTGCACATCTGATTTGCGTTGGTTTGAAAAAGTTTTCTCTTTCACCGCACATCTGATGCATACGGGATCCTTAATGACATTTTTCCCGTGGCAGTTCAGTGCCACTTCTATATTTATGCCAAGTGTTCTGTTTATTTAATTTGTCATGTACTGTTTATTTAAATTTCTTCTATCATCATGTGATAAGTGGAATTGACACCGAATTTAGTACGAGTAGTGACATAGAGGATCCCAAACTGTGACGTTGGGTGATGATCAATTTTTCATTACCCGCAAATTTGGACATTTGCGGCGATAGAGGAAAGTTTTTTTGACTGGTCAAACGATACAACTATTACTCGGCAATACACCAACTATTACTTGGGAAGATACAATTATTACTCGGCAATATACTTGGGAAAATTCGTAGAGGCAATACACTATTACTCGGCATTGTTCGACTCGCTGGGTGCCTGCTACGGGGAGGAGAGTGAAGAAAGGCAAGTAGTGGAGCAGCAACTCCTGTCGAGGGAGATACGGAATGTGCTAGCTGTTGGTGGTCGGTCAAGAAGCAGCGACGTCAAGTTCAACAATTGGAGGCAGATGCTTCAGCAGCAGGCTTCAAGGGTAGCTCTTTTGTTTTTGTGTTTTTTGTTTGTTTGGGTGTTGGGGGGGGGCGTTGTGTGTGTGTGTGGAGGGAATGCTGCAGCCTAGGCCACCATTTTGCTTGGAATGTTTCCTTGAGATGGGTGTTGAGGACAACGGCACCCTCAAGCTTGGGTGGAGGGACCTGTGCTTGCTCACTGCATCTGAATGGAGGCCCTCCTAAATCATGCTTCTGCTGAAAGTCCTCCAACATCCACGCTTCTCTCCACTAATTTTCCATGGATTAGCAGTTGCTATCCTTCATCTTTTCGCTAGCTACCTTTTTTTTTTTCATTTTTTCCCTTTAGTAATTCTCAGAATCAACGCGGCCTAGCTTTCTAAATCGAATACTTACGTCGCCTCAGCGGAGATCTTTGTTCTTTGCTTGAGGATCAACCCGAAAGTCTGAATTTTACGTTGCATTTAATGACGAAGTGATAAAACCAAAGTATTAAAAAATGGATGATTTGGCCAAATTTCATTTTTAATTAGTTTTGTATTTTCAATTGTAACCTTAACGAATTTTTAACGGCTTAACAAAGGAATCGCCGCACCTGAGCTTTGCTGCAATTCGTTTCTAATATACTCCCTCCGTCCCATTGATAGTGTCATACTTTCCTTTTTGGGCTGTCCCGAAATATTTGTCATGTTTGACATTTCAAACTATTTTAAGCTATGAATTTCCATTTCTGCCCTCCATTAATAGTGTGATAATGCATGTGCTAGTTGGCCCACATATTGATGTGTGGTCCCAAAGGACATCCAAATATTCCAACTTGTACCATATTTGACTTTCGGCTCCAGCAACAAAGTTCCGACTCCAGCCAAATTCATCATCAAGAATGTGCACATGGCTCTTTTAAACTTCAATTGAAAACTGATTTTGTTATCAAGAGGATCATTTCGATTTTTTGCAGGAAATAGAATATCGAGATGATTTAATTAGTGATTTTCTTTTGAAAGCTTTCAATTTTTAAATTATTTTCATACGCACTAATTTTTTAAGAATGATCAACTTTCACAAAATAAATTCATATTGAAAGCAAGAAAATAGTGTAAAAAATAGGTGAATAATTTTAGATTGACCCAAAAACTAAATGAGCAAAATAATAAGGCATGTTACTCTACTTGGAGAAAAAAAACTACACTCACTACCAAATTTAATTTAAACGTAGTCTATGGAAGTGTCAGTTCCTCTCTTTTTTTTTTAATGTTTCAAAACTCAAAAATGCAAAAACAGATATTCTACCACCAAATAGCAAAAGAATGCAAACCAATATGCACTATTTCCCCTTTATAGAATAATGCTATTGACAGTTTCAAAAACTCCAACAAAAGTAGTGTTTCAATGTTTATACATGTACATAGCTTCACTCAGCATTGCACATTTTCCCTTTTGTACAAAAATCAGCACTACTACTACTAACGTCAAGCTAACTTGACTGAGCTATTCTAAAATCTTGTAAAGTGAAATAAAAGCAGTCAATGAAAAACCACTAGTACATAAAAGTGCTTCTATATTCTTTGCCCAATCAAAAGCTTGCATCACAAAATCAAAAGGGTTGGATTGCTTGACTTCAACCATCTGCCAAAAGATGAGATAGGACACAATTAAGTGATAAACAACAAATAAAGATGCTCCAGAGCAAAGTGAACAAGAATAGCTAGACAAATGAACATTGAGTACATGTACATTTTGCACATTAGAACACCCATACCATTTTGTTCAAAACACATGATTAGTAAAGTTTAAGTACCTACAAATATGAAAATAAGGAACACTAGTTAGTTTAAACAACCATACACACAAGAAATTAGAGATAAAAAAATCTTTAAAAAAAAAAAGCTTTATAAAATCTTACCTGTCCAATGAAGATAATCATGCTTGCATATGACTTAGAGCTTGATTCACAAGTTCTTTTTCACATTCTATTTGCAGTGGAAGACAACTTTCTTTCATTAAATAGTGCTTCCCAATGTGTGGCACTTTATAGTTATTTCCCCCAAGATTTTTCATCACCTCTACCATACATGATTGCAATGTTAAGAAAACATTGTTTAGACTTTCACTTGATAATTCATCAAATGACTTTTCCACAGCAAGAATTAGCTCATCAATTGACAAGGGTGCTTCTTGATGTTGCAAGGATTGTATAGCTCTAAAATATCCCAAGTCAAGAACATTCATGTCCGGACTATTAGGAGGCTGAAACGACAAGTGAATATCAAATCCATCTCTAGAAGCAGCTTCAATAAATACCGGATCAGTGGGATTAATATGTGGTTTTGCATTATCCTGTTGGATCAAAATTTCAGTAACACTACCACCATCCCGTGGCCATTTAGCATGTATTGCAGGCAAAACCTGTTCAATTAAACATCTCCTATATACTTCCTTGGTCACTGACAATATTGGCTTAGTTTCTAATGTACCTGCCATACGATTTTTACTACTCCTCTTTGCTGGTTCTTTGAATACAAAAGGAAAAATCCCAATTTTCCCATCAAATGTTGGGTTACCAGAGCAGTCAAAACGTGGTCGAGCAACAGCAGCTAGGAACATAACTTTCACAATGAACTTTTTGCTCTTACATGTCCTAAGAGGTTCTTCTTCTTGAGGATGAAGATAATATTTTTCACATTCTTTAGTCATGTAAAACCACTTTTCATCAATATGCACAACATTGAACATACTCATAAATGTTGGATTGCTGTTGAGACTTTCTGGTTCAAGCATTGACAAGCAAAAGTTAAGCCTTACTTGCTTATTCTGATCTGTCAATTGTGGTTTGAGTGCATTTGAGTGTGGCCTTATAGCACCTTCTTTAATTCGTCGGTGAAGGGTTGATTTGGACACTTTCATTTCACTGGAAAGTGACCTGATGTTTGTCCGACGCCGGAGAGGAATTGCCATGATCAAAGTAAAATCAATATCCACTCGTTTTCTTCCGCATCTTTTAGAAAATCTGCGTGATACATCAACTCTTCCATCTGTAGAAGTAATTGCTGCTAGCTTCCAAATTCTCTGAACTGTCCTAACACTTGTTTTAAATAGGCTTGCAATGTTCCTGATGGTTCCCCTTTTCAATTTACCACCATTACTTTCCTGTAATAAAGCTTCAAAAATCATTTGCCTTTCTTGATTAGTCAATCTCTTTGTAGAATTATTAGTTTCAACATCATTAAAAGTATCCATATTTCTTTTAAGAATCACCTTTGAAACATGGTGTAAAAAAAAAAGAAACAGAGTGTTAAAACGAAACAAACGGACTGCATATATAGAGGTACAAATTAGTGTACAATTCCATTAAATATTTTAAAATAGGCATTTCAAGACTTATTTTTGGAGTAATCCGCCAAAATCCAAATTTTCAGTAAATAATTTGGCGGCAAATCTTTAAGAAATTATAGACAAAATAATCAATAAATAAACATTACAAAAGTTTAAAAGATCCAGCCTTTCTTACATGAGAAAAGAGAAAAAAACCATTAAAAAGAAAGAATAGAAGACAGTTAACTAACCTTTTAATCTCATTTGTTATCAACGATGGATTAGCAATCAACTTCATATCCTTCCAATGCTTCTCTCTTGAATTGGAGCTCCAATATTGTAATCAAAGGTGAAAACTTTCAAGTGAATATGGAGTATGAAAAGAGGGAATTTGTAGTTATTCCAGAGAAATTATCGTAGCTTAAATTTGCAGCAATTGAAGAATGGCTAACGACGGAGAATCAGAGAAGATTTTAGTAGTAGGCGGTGATGAATGTCTGCTAGAAGAAGGAAACAGTTTCTGTGGCAGCAATTGATAAGGAAACGGTTTTTGTGGCTGAAACAAAAGATTGGTTTTTGGTGGGTCCCATTTTGACCCATTTGCTTTGGATGAAGAAGATTTTGATAAGGAAATGAGCTTTTGTTTTTGGTAGCCGAAACAATGGAATGCCTTTGATGGGTCCCTCTTTGACCCATTTATTTCTTGAGTCTATCGTGAATGTGAAGGGCAAATTTGGAACCCATGGGTTTAAAAACAAGTGGATTTTACTGTGCATAAAAAGCGCTGCTTCCCAAGCGCGACAGACTTTAAGGGACGGAGGGAGTAATATTCTTCACCGCTCATTTCGCGAGCGCCGAAGCTTTTCCAAAAAAATATATATATATCCGCTCTATTAACTTTGTCGGCAAAAAAAATTAAAAATAAAAACAATTTTTTAATAAAGCCTCACTTCTTATCTGCGGTGACCCTTCAAGCAAACACACCCCTCAATTAACACCACTTTTGTGATAATTTTTTATTTTAACATTATTTCGAGAAATTCGCCTAAAGACACCTGAAGCAGAGTAGTCCATCCCTGGAAAGAAAAAGTAATTCTTATTATTGTGTAGTTTATTTATATAAAATCGAATTTTGACTATGTTCTGAACCGCAATGACTATTTGAACCACTGTAATTTTGAACCATCATAAAATCAGATATTAACACTTTCTTTTAAGCATATCGTTTCTGTTTAGCTCGCGAGTTACCTTGAATTGCGATTAATTATTTAAACAGGGACATGATGCAATATGCAACTAGGATTCATCAAGTAGAGTCAAGTGTAAAATTAAAGCTCAATTTCAACTAAAAATTAATCACTCAAAATTTCACTCAATTTGATAAAGATTGACTTGACAAGTACCTAAATGAGCTTTTCTCCACAGCCAATATTCTATGTTTGGATTGAGAAATTTGACAAAAAATTTGAAATCCTCTCAAGTCTTTCTTGTTGTCTAGATTATTTAACAGGTATTTAGATTTGTAATTATTTAGATAATTGGTAACTTACAAATCCAAATGCCTTTTAAGTAATCTGAACAATTGCAGCCATATGAGTAGATTTTAAATCTTTTATCAAATTTCTCAATCCCAATTAAACTTGTTTTGTACTCTGCAATAATCTAGATTTTTAGCAAAAAGTGGTATTGAACCCATATTTTGTACTTTCAATGGATAAAAATAAAATAGAAGAACCTCATGCAGCTGGAACAAAATGTATCTTATGAACAAGAAACAATCTTAGAGAACGGCAAATGAACATTAACTTCTTTTTACCTGCAGTTCACGTTTGGGTAGACCTGATTTTCAAACACCCAATGACCTAGATTGTGGCACACTATCTCACTAAGTGGCGTGACACGATCTGGTGTGGTGCAAGTTTTGGCCTTTACCTGCTCCTTGGGTTGTCCAAAATTTTCATTTTTTTCCCCTGTACCCTATCTGATGTCCATTAACGTCCTTCGATTAGCCTTTTATGCTAAGGCATCCAAGTCATGTGATTATTCAACTTAGTCGAGTCTTGAATTGGTGGGAAAAAATAGGGTAAGAAGACACCATGTTAATCAATGACAATAATTTTAGCAAGCTGTTTTAGCTGAAAATCCTACACTACTCAGAATTTGAACCTTCAGTAAATAATATTTGAACTAAGCAGCAATTTCCTCGGCCATGTACATGAAATTGGTTTGTCTAACCAGCTAAAATCCAACGAGGCAATACAGGAAGATGGGGGAGGGGCAGGAATGGAGACAAAAACTCAAAATATAACCAGATTTGGAAGAGCATTTTTATACAAAGAAGATTTCCTTGTTTGGAAAGCCATTTTTTCCCCAAAAGTTTTTACTATTTTCTTGAACACACTTTCCAATCACTTTTTTTACTTGCCTACATCAAATCTCTCTCTCTCTCTCTCTCTATATATATATATATATATATATATATCAAATCATTACAATATATTTTTCTACAAACACTCTTAAAAAATATCAATCCAAACAGGGATCAATTTACTGCACTAAGCCACAAAACACTCTAAATTACATTACGTGCTTTATTTGTTTCCAACCACTAGAGTATTTTGAAATTGATAATGTATAAAAGATTAATCCTGAATATAATCTTAGACATCCAGAAACGAGGGGAGGGAGGAAGACCCTTCTTCCATTTCTTTTTTGGGTTTTATGAGTACTTGGGCTTGGAAGCCCCGGGAAAACGAGAGGAGGAGGAGGAGGAGGAGGAGGAAGAGGAAGGGGGCGGGGGGGGGGGGTTGTTGGAGTGGATTGTAATGAGGTACAAGGGGGAGAGATTAATTACAACCATCCCTTATCGTCAACAAATCAACAATAGGTAATTCATATGTAATCCTCAGATTACGCCATGTAATTCTAACACAACTGACCTGTTTGTATTCTTTGTGAATAATTATCTAATTTTTACATTTTCATTTATAGAATTGTACAAGTTATCTATATGAATTACACCTTCCTTTTACTACAGTTTAGAACGATTTCATTAGCAACCGTTCCTGCACCTATCCCGTAAAGAGAGGGGCAATGTACAATTCGGACTGCAACTATAGATACCAGAACAATAAATACTTCAATTCTGTATAATTTTCTTGACAGTTGGAAGATTCAAGAATCTTTTTCCAGTAAAATTTTTTGCAAGAAAACAACTATTGATAAAGCTCATTACGTAGCTCTGTGTAATTGGAGACTCAAAATTTGCATTACACGCCTCTGAAATCTTTTTTTTCCCAATTTCTCACACGCAAAAAAAAAAAAAAAAAAAAAAAAAAATTCAAACACATCTGTAGTTCTAAAAGACTAATTTCCTTCAATCATTTGAATCATTCAAACGACAACAACTCAGAGGAACATAATTTATCCTAGTTATTCCTCTAATAAAGTGCCAAACACAGCCCATGGGGTCTGTTTGGATTATCTGGTTTTTCAAATACAAATTTTTTATATACAAGTCTAGAATATCACAATTCAAAAACACTCCGCAAAACATTCCAAATACACACAATTTCCAATAAAACTAACAAAAGTATAACAAGATAAAAAAAAATAAAAAACAACCTACACCTCTATCTTCTTCAACGCATCACCACAATTTTTGTTTTATTTTTTCTTAGAAAAATAATCAACGGCCAACTAGCCATTGGACATGTAAAGCTTGAATATTTTTTTTTCCCTGAATTTTGTGGTGAACAATGTCACCACACATGGCATGTACTTTGGTAGCTTTCTCCATGGGCAGTGACACTGTTCATCAAAAAATAAAAATAAAAAATTGGAGTTCTACATTCCAATGCTTGGGAGACTGAAATGCCAAAAAAAAAAAGGGTCGCCGCACATCCCTATTCCAAAAGAAATTTTAAAAAAAAAACCGTCATCACATATGAGATGTGCAAAGACCCTAAAATTAGAAACCCACCTGAAATTCCTCCATTCTTACAGTTTTTTTTTTTTTTTTTTTTTGCATTATGAGAAATCTTCCAATTTTACCTCTCTCTCTCCCCTTCATCAAAGGCTGCAGTCGAAAATGCATTCAATATCTATCTCCTTTACTTGATTAACCTCTAAAGCCCCATTTGGGGTTGCAGTGGTTTTGATTGAAAAAAGCACTTTTGGATGCTAAAAGTAACTTTAAAATATTTGATGAATATCATTCCATAAAATTAAGAGTGAAAATTTGGTGTTACAAGCACTTTTAGCAAAAATTCAAATTCAGTGCTTTTAGGCCCCGTTTGGGGTTGCAATACTTATAATAAAAAAGTATTTTAAAATTGTTTGGTGAACATCATCTCATAAAATTAGGAGTTGAACTTTTGATATTAAAAGCACTTTTAGCAAAAATTTAAATTTGGTGCTTTTATAGTAGCTTGTCATTTAAAAAACAAAACATCAAATTTAATCATTCTATCCTATATTATAAATCAAATACAGAGATAAACATTTTTAAAAATTTTCAAATTACACATTATCCAATACAATAAGTACTTATTAAATTATGTCTCCAAAAAATATATTTAAAAATAATTAAATAGTTGATAAGTATTTTTATTAAAAATTCTACTAGATAAGTACTTTTTAATAAACTATCGTAACTCCAAACGGGCCTTTAGTCGAAAGCTCCTTTGGTTAAGTATTTTTTAATAAACTACTCCCATCCCAATCGGTCCCTAAGAAAGTGGGATAAGTCAAAACTAGTTTACTTGAAACCTAAAAGAATCTTATCTTCTTTCAACAAAAAGAACCCCAACACCCTAAATGAAGAAGACAATATAAGAGAATCCTCTCCTTTTCTTTTCTTTTTTTTTTAACTCACCACAATTTTCGCTAAATCCTAACAACTTGTTTTATTAACCTCCGCAATTTTCACTAACCCTAACTACTTTTTATAGCCACAATAAGATGTGACGATGTGAAGCCACAATAAATACTTTTTTAAGCATCATAATGCATACGATGTGAAGATACATATACATATGAAAATTGTTACTTCATATGCATAGCGAAAATTGGTACAGAGGATTTGATGCACCTAGTAACTGATGTTATCTTTACAGTGGGATCTCAACAACAGGGCATCATTTTTTGTTTAATCAGTCGTCGCTAATCTAACACATATCTGTTCCTACTACTCTAGCCTATTTTAGGGTAGGTCCAACATGGCCTATAGAAAAATTAATGGGAACTGAACCATCATTGAACCAGATGGATGCATACTGATAGGGACTGAACCACCATCGAACCAAACGAATGCATTACGCACCTATATGGATCGAGAGGAAGCCACCTAAAGTTGGGGTCTAGAGGAAACCACTTAAAGTGGCAAGCCACAAAATGAACTGACAGGGATTGAAACTCTATCGGACTAAACGGGTACATTACACACCCACATGGATCTAAAGGAAACCACCTAAAGTGACAACCACCTAAAGTGACAACCACCATCGAATCAAACGGATACATTACATACCTGTATTGATCTAAAGGAAGTCATCTAAAGTGGCAAGCCACAAAGTGACAAATGATGGAAAGTAAAGTTTGAACCTTTGATCTCGCATCCCACTAAAACTTAAAAGCCTTGATGGTGGCCAACAACCCAAATGGTTGTTGGTTAACAAGGCATCATTCATAAACCATATATTCTAAGGTATCCTCATGTTGGTTAACAGGTGTGTGTGTGTGTATCTTCCTCTAGATTGAATGTGTGTGTATCTTTCTGGTATTCGAACAAATTTTCTTTAATGAATTATGCGCTCAT